TATAATTTCAATTTCCATGGAAGAGAAAATAGTGGTGAGGTGGGTCACCAGTGTGAAGGTGGTAGAAGCAGCTATGGGCATAAATAAGACAGTGCAGGGAAAGCATATGAAGTGAAAAGGTAAAGAAGGACAGAATTCTGGCGAATAATCACTTTTAAGAAAACTTGTTTTGGGGAGACAGAGTCTTGCTCTGTTGCCCAGGCTCAGGTGATTCTCCTACCTCAGCCTCCTGAGTACTTGGGACTACAGGCGTGCACCACCGTGCCCAGCTAATTTATTTATTTATTATTATTATTATTTTGTAGAGATGGGGTCTTCCTGTGTTGCCCAGTCCGGTCTTGAATTCCTCAGCTTAAGCAATCCTCTTGCCTTGGCCTCCCAAAGTGCTGGGATTGCAGGAATAAGCCACAGTGCCCGGCCAGGAAGAGGAACCTTTTAAGTGAACAAAGCTAAGAAAATGAATGACCATGGAAGGAGGCAAAGCAGAGAGAGTTTCAAAAGAGGCATGATCAATAAGATCACATATAACAGGGAAGTCTAGAGACTGAGAAGTGAATGTTGGATTTGAATATGAAAGCCTACTGGTGACGTTAGCAATAGAGATTTTACTGGAGCTATGCGGGCTGAGGTCAGGCTGCAGTTGGTCCAGAATAGTGAATTGTAATGAAGAAGTATAAATTGCGCACTGATGACACTGATGACTCTTCCCAGAACCTAGGCACAAGGTGGTAAAGGTGGACAGAATTGGGGAAGACTTTTGTTTAAGATAGAATAGGCTTTGGCTGAATACACAGGGAAGAATAGTGGATGTCAGGAGACTGGGAACACAGAAGCCTGGGAGCTCTTGGAAAGAGGGGCAACACTTCCTCTGAACTAGAAGGGAGGTTAGGTACACACATATACAGGTAAGGGGAAATAGCGGTGTGAGCTTGAATAAAGATGTCTGATACTATAAACTTATGAAGAAATAACAGTTATTTGTTTGTGGGGAAGAAAGAGTTGTATAGGAGAGAGTCAAGAATAGTGGAATAGCCATTGTGGGTTGTGGAACAGCCGTTGTAGGTTTTGGAAATGAGGCTGCTGTTGAGGTGGTGGACCACAAATATCTAAAAGCTCTTATATTATGGTTTTATTGTTTTCTCTAATCTAATCCACAGACACAGTTAAAGGGCGGAGATGTGTGATAAGAGTCCAGGTTCCAGGTTGAAGGTTTGTCAAGCAGGTGTGGCTAAAGGACTAGTGGTTAAGGGAGTTAATGGTCCTAGTGAGAACAATGGGGATGATGCACCTTAGGTCTGGAAAGGCTAGGGGAGGAATTATGAAGTATGGTGGGAGTGCTGTCTATCAGAGGAGGTTGTGGGAGCAGGCATGGTAATCTTGCACAAATACAAGGAATAAAGTAGTAAGGCTAGAGAAAGTTCTGAAAAAGGAAAATGAGAATTTAGGATCACAAAATTCTCTATTGTGAAATAGCCTGATGTGTAACCCTAGAAGCATATGTTCAAAACTGAGTAGATGTAAAAAGCTGTAAGCAGTTATGGCAAGGGTATTGGGTGGCCTTTCCTCTAAAACACTGAAGTCATCCAGGATGATGGTGGGACATGAGGTAGAAGGAAACAGGGAGATTGGTACCCAAGACTGGAGAATCTGGGACATTAACTATAATCATGGCCACAACTGATAAAAGTTGAAGTAGTTGGATCCACACATTTTGGTAATGAGGGATTTTTGTATGGGATGGGAAGAAGCAATGGTGCAGAAGCAGAAGTGAGGACCTGGGAGAATGTTCTCTGACCGTTCGTGTAAGTCTGCATAATACGGGCGCATGTGCACATGTGCAGCCTTTTGTGGAGGGAAGGAAGCGTTCTCACATGAGTTTTCTTGAAGTCCAGGAAGTGGCAACAATATTCAGTGAAGAGACTGGGACTGCAGGGGAGTTTATAAGGAGAGAGTGACTCCAGAGAACAGTGGGAAAGACTGGAAGTGAGGGGAACTGTGTGTTGGAGTGGGGTTGGGGGAAGTTCAGGAGAAAAACCAGAGTGTGCGGATCCAGGAGTATATAGGAGGAAAAGGCATTTAGGGCAGTAGTGAAGGATAGCAGGAGCAGGCCTGAGTAGTGTAAGGTTCTAAATAGAAAGTTGTTGCCAAAATGGTAGTGTTTTCATCCCGTTGGCAATGAAAGGGGAAATATCACTGCAAATATCACTAGGTTGTGAACCTAGGTTGTATGATTGTTCACCTCCCCCTCCCCACCTTTTTGGTCATATATATAACAGGATATATGCCAGGACAACAAATGTTTGCCTTTCCCCCTGGAGCATCAATAATATAATTACTCAAATAAAAGAAGAGTCCCCTTTGATTGATTCAAGTAATAGAAAAATTGAGTTCACATCTGTGCAGGTGGACCCATGTGCCTCCATAAGCTGCGGAGTTCTGAGAAGCAAGGAGCTTTTATTCTTCTCAGTTTTCATTGTGATATCCTGAACTCACACTGGGTTTCCTGAGTGACATGACTATGTGTTTGCAACAGTAAGAGGGTGAAGTTGCAAACATCTGGCAATTATGAGTATGTAGAATAACAAAAACAACAAAAATGTACGGTAGTAAATCATCATGGACTTTTTTGGTGAGATCAAACATTGAAGTAACAAAAAATGACATCAAACAGAACAAACTGAAACAATGAGCCTGCTGCACATAATCTACTTTTCTGATTATTGATTTTGGTGACTCCGTGTCCTCCTCTAGCTCATAGTTCCATCATAAGCATTATATTTTATATCATTTATTAGAGTATTTTTTAAAGCATAACAATCTGTTTTAATTACACTTAAATGTCTCTATGGATAGTTTTAATATTTATATTTTTAATCAATAGAATTACATTTTGATTACATCTTTGGAAACGTATTTGTAGAGCTTAAAACACAGCTGAAATCATGTGGCTTTCCAATACACTCCTTTGAAAAAAGTGCTTTACTTTGCAGAATTATAAGCCAGAAAGTACTATGGCATTAAGTTATTGCAAAGCATTGTGATTTATCCAGTAAAACACATGGCTTTGGACCTTGTAAGCTTCTTATATTTAGCTACATCCTCCTTACCCTCACAGAAAAGTAATCTCTGCATTATTAATGTACCTCAAGATTACTAAATGATCTACACAGCAGCCAGCCAATCTGTGGTGACCCCCAATTTTATGCGATCTGTACTGGCACTGATTTCAGGCAAACACTCTTCCACCATTGCCCCCTCCTCTCCATGCCTGGACAGATGCTTGCTCCCTCTTCTGGCCTTGTTTTGCTAGGAAAGGTTTTGGTAATAGAGAACATTCTTTGTCATGCCACATTTTGAGCTGACCTTCCTGCTGGACAAGTCTAAAATCATACTCTTAGCAACACTTAACCCCAAGACTCATGTGGTCATCAGATTGGACTGGCCATGGTAGAATGTGGCCCAAATAAATCCTGGTGGGAACTGGACTTACTGTGAACTTTTCCCACTCTAATACTGGACAAAATAATTGTATGCTCCCCAGTATCTCTTCACGCAGGAATGCAAGGTGCCTGTGTAGACAAATGACTGTCCCATCCAATTTTAGCCAAATGTGATTATCATATGCCAAACACTGACAAGAACAATTTATCTTGAAATGAAGAGTTTATCTTGGGCCTGCTGCTTCATCATTAACTAGGAGTTAACCTGCTTTGTGATGACAGAAGTCTCTAAAATTCCCTTTTCAAGCGGTACAGAATACTGATGTTACCTGGCTCATTTGCAGAGATCTCACACTTCACCAAACCAATTATGACCACACGAAACCTCCAAACTACTTATTCTAACCTAGTTGCCACTTTCTAGTTTTCTAAGTCAAAGCAAAGTTCTCAAACACCTGAGTGCCTCACTGGGATGTTCTATTGGATTTGCAATTGTGTTCAATTTGATTATTTGAAGTCAGTAGGTCACTTGAATACCATCGACTATCCTATTAAAAGATGCTGGTTCCCCACGTTTTTCCTCTTCTGCTTTTGTTTGGCAACTTAATGGTTCTCAACCTTGCTCCTGGTTGTTTATGGGGGTGTTTTATTTGCTGCCATCCCTCTCCCTTTTTCACTAGACTCTTGAATGATTTGGGAGTGCTAAGGTATCCAGTGCACTACTACCAAGCTCCCGATAAATATTTGTTGAGGATGACATTTACATTTTTTATGTCCTCAGAGTCTAAAATTTTGATTTGGACAGTATTTTGAATTTTAGGGTTTAGATTGTTAGGTGTCTTAATGGGATTCTTCTTCAGATCTCTTCATATTCCAAGTGTAGCAGAAAATGTAGGTTACTATTTTCTTCAGCAACCACTAATGCTGAAAGAAAACAACAGTACATGCACGGGTTTCACCTCAAATTCATCATTTAACATTAGCCACCCCCATTTTGAGGACTGATAGTTGATTTGAAGGAGCCCTCTGAGAATTTGATTCCATAGCCCTTTCTAGGGCACCAGGGCTCCTAAAAACAGCAGCTCCTGTTCTGTCCCCTCCTGAATGGAAGCAGACTATTTGATTCCCATCCAGCCATTCTCAAGGAGTTCTTTTCTCAGAGACTCAAACAAGTGGTGAAATAGGTAATCCCAGAGCATTTGGGGGAACAATTTGGGGAGGAAATATGAGTTTTCTTTCTTTCAAATGGAATTTTATCAGTGTCAGGCTAGCCCAGACCACAGGAAGTTTACGAATGCCTCTGATGGCTGGCAGGCTGGGCGAGAGTCAAAGCGGAGGTCCGCACCTGAGTAGCAGGACGCTGACTGAGAAGATGAGTCAGTTTCTAAGGCCTTCTGGACTTGACTGGCAAGGAAAGCTGACAGTAGGGACTATCTCCACAGCTGTCAGTGTGTCTCATGATGACATCCACAGAATTGTGTTCCTGAAGGTGATGCTATAAATGTCAGAGTCTAAAAGATCTTTCAACCATTTTTTAAATCCACACAGGCACCTCAACCCTTAGAACTGAAGTCACTTGTTAATATGTAAATGGTGGCTTCTCAGTCTATCCCCAAATAAAAATATATCTTATAAATGTTACCAAACATTTAAAATAATCATAAAATAGTTTATGTATTTCATTATTTGGCTCAGAGTTCTGATGGTGAAGCAAAGTGCAGCTCTTTCCCTCCCTCACATTCTAACTGGAACGTGGTCCTTATCAAAGCGTGGACACCGCAGGGGCACTGATGCTGACATAAAACCTGTCTGCCACATTTTCTGATAAGGCAGGAATGTACTTCTCAGATCTCTTGAACATGGCCTTTCTCATCTGTCACAACTCTATTTCTTGACTTTGCTGGCCAAGGGGAAAAATACTATATTCTAGGACTTTTCTTTCAGGTTCATATCTCATTGGCTGTTGGTCCAATGTCTTGCTCACCCAATGAGGCCAAAACACTGATGAAATGCCTTGCTCACTCAGTGCTCTCGGAAGGCAGAACTCATCAGCTGACTTGCCAGTTACCCTCGTCACAGACACTGGCTTAAAAGGTACAGAACAAGATTTCAAAACTGGAAGGTTTATCAGGGAGGAAGGGAGGGAGGAAGGGAGAGGGAGGAGAGAGAGAGAGAGAGACAGGAATATGTATCTGTTGCAGGGAATCAGCTCCCAATTTCTCAATGGAGGAGGTAACTTCATCTCAGCCCCCACTAAGCCCAGAATCACCCTTGGTTGTGATGTCCGAGCCCTTAGAGAAATTTCTGCAATGACTGAGCTTCTGGACAGAATTCAGCCAGGCTTGAACCTGAGAAGAGATGCCCTGTGAAGTCCTTTTTTGGGCAGCACCAAAAATCTGCCAGCAGGTATATTAGTTCTCCTTTCTCTCGCCAGCTGGAAAGGAAAGAACCATTGAAAGTTATACATAATTGAAAAGAAAATCAGATTGGTTTATTGCTTCTGCTTGTATACAGAGTTGAAGAGCAAGTTTGAGTGAGTGCCTAGAGTGGGCGGTGGATGAGGGGAATTATGGAAGGGAGAGGGGTTCCTCAAGTCTGTTATTTTTAAAGAGATGGGGTCTCGCTGTGTTGCCCAGGCTGGTCTTGAACTCCTGGGCTCAAGCAATCCACCCATCTCAGCCTCCCAGAGTGTTGGGATTACAGATGTGAGGCACCGCACCTGGCCTCAAATCTGTTCTTGAGCAGTGGAGAGGAATGGAGATAGGAAGGGACCCATTGGCTAAAATAAAATACATTTTTAAGAAGGGCAACTCTCAGTGAGTGGTTGTGATGATCACCCTGCTAGGGCTCTTCCCTCTCCTCCTGGAGCTCCTCCCTTCATTCTCTCCTGTACTGCTGGGCCCAGCCTAGTGTGGAAGAAGAGTAAAGCTGAGCTAGAAGTGTTTTCTGCTAGTGCCCCACCAATTTAAACACATTACATTTGGAGTGGAGTTCTGCCTTTGTGTGAGGCTTTTATCTATGATGACATCCTGTTCTTGGACTCTTGATCCTGTAAAGAAAGCAGATGCCTTCACTTCACGATTGCATACCTAAATGAAGATTTAGTACATTTCATTACGGTAATCCTCAGCTCAGCCTCCACCCTGCGCAGCTACTGGATTTATAAATTACAGTCCAGTACAGTGGCAGTTGGGGCCCCAAATGACTAAAAGCCAGAGCCAGGAAATCTTCTTGGATTGTGCCAGTCTCAGAGTTTGCTCTTGATTCTGATTTTCTATGCTGGTATATGGAAATCATCTTGGACAGGTCTCCAGGGATTCCAGGGAAAGAGCATGGGTAAGAAGGGGTAAGCTCACCCACCTGGATATCTAAGTGCACGTTAGTTTGCATTTCCAAATCCACTTCTAATTTGGATAGTACACTTTACAAAGCTTATTAGAAAACTGGTCTAAAAGAACACGTTTTAAAGAGCATTAAAAAGCATGAAGAGGAGGCCTTCTAACCCCAATAGCAACATTTTGAGGTTTGACACAGCAAGAGATTTTTCTTTCTTTCAAAGAACATTCTTTCTTTGTTTCAAAGGACAGCCAGCTCTCAAGAGTAATAGCTAAAAGAAATAGGGGAGCAATCCGACTCATATACAAGCTCCAAAGTTCATTGGAGGTAAGCATTCCATCCTCTCCCCTTACCTAACCTTCTCTCACTTGCTCACACAGACTTAACTAAATTTCATCTCTCGTTTTTTCCCTTGACCACTCTTCTGGCAAATGGACTAATTAATAAGTGGTCAAAAGGCTGAAGAAAGAGAAGTCAGAGGCCAAAATAGGCCCAAACTTGATAACCTGTGCTTGGAATATGGCAAGCTGGCCCTGTAATAACTTCCAGATGAATCAGGATATTTTTCAGACACCAGCAGGTGAACTGAAATCATTCTATTTGCCTCCCACTTCTTCCATCCAGAATTACTGATCTCCGCTGGGGCTGGTAAAAACAGCTAGTGGAGGTCTCTAGTCTCTGGCCATTCTTAGGGATGGTCATTTTATTCCTAAGTGTAACCCCTTCTGGTGTGACCCATGTGTTTTCTGCCAACTCTCCACAAAGAAGGCCAGGGGAAACTGTCTGGGTGGGACTTCTGATAGGGGACAGCAGGACCTTGGAATCTGTCACTGTGGATGAGGGGGGCAGGTGGTCCATAATGGGGAAAGGAGGACTGAATAAGATTAGGCTCTGAGGTCTTCCTGGCCTTGACCTGTGGAAAGGCTTAGAACCCCCAGATGGTCGCTCTAGTTTTGAAGAAAGAAGGTTGTCCCCAGATGGCTCTGTCTCTGACATGCGCTTTCTGCATTGCACTGTTGCGTCCTGGGTGGAGAGCAGGTTCGATGAGCCTGGTTCTGGAGAAAGGGTGGGCCCCTCGCACACGCACGGTGCAGTGGCATCCACTGGTGAGGACTTAACGGTTCCGGGATCTTGCTTTGGTTTTTCTTCCTTTGGGCTTTCCAGGGAGGAGGGAGAATCATCTTTGGCCAGTTTCTGAGTGCTCCCACTGGTTGAGTTGGCTTCCTCTTGGCTCCTCTCCAGAGGCTGAACCCCACTCTCCCCTGAGCTCTGAGAGGGCAGGGGCTGTGGGATCTGGGTGTACTGAATCTTGGGAGGGATGACTGGGACCGCCCTGGCCTGGCACATTTTGACCATGAAGGAGGTTCTCACAGCTGACACACTCACAGGAGCTGAGTTACGGCGGCCTGTCAGTGCATGAGCAACCATGTCCAGGTCCTGAGGGTCCTGGGGGTCCTGGGAGTAAACCCTCCAGGGGTCTGCTTTACAGTAAGATGAGGTCATCCATGTGACCTTCGGGTCTCCCGGCTCAGAGACCTGCATTCCAGGTGAACTAAATGAGGCCACATTCTCAAACCAGAAGAGGTCAGCAATGGGAATGGCAGGGTCCAGGTTGAGGGAAGAAGGCCTGTTTTTCCCTTTTGGGGCCCCACACTCTGTGCTCTTCAGCTGTAACTTTGTGGGGTGCTCTCCAGGTGAAGGGCTGTCCTGCATGCTGGGTGAAGTCTCCTTGCTGCTCTCTGGCCCAGGAACATCACCTTGCCTAATCTGTGGCCTGCTGTGCCCCAGGTGTGTCCCCAGTTCCTTTCCCTCTGCTAGGCTGATGGGGCTGGTCTCTGCTGGCTTGGGTTGCACAACACGTGGTCCCTTCTGGTTGGGAAGAGCCTCTGCCCCTTTCAGGCCAGAGAACTCTCTGAAGGACCTCAGGGCTTTCTCATCCCACCCAGTAATCTCTCTCCTGGGTGCCTGGGGCTGAAGAGGGTCAGAATTCCTCTCTGTTTCAAGATTAGCACAACTGCTGGAGGAGGGAACCTCGAGAGTCCACTGGCTTTTAACCGTGGGTTTACTGTCTAGAGAATGGCTCTGGCGAAGGCTGGGCCTGTGGGAAAGCCTCTTCTCCAATTGGTGACCCTGAAGGCCCTGTACCTGGGTCTCGTGCGCGTCTTTCAGGGTGGGAGAGTGAAGGGGACTCGTCACCCACTGGGGTTCCTCCCAGGGCTCCACCATCTCCAGGCCATGCTGGGCAATGTCTGTCACAGTGTCATCTTCGTCACAGTCTGAAGGCTCCTGTACTGAATGGGTTACATCCTCCTCTCCTTGTGAGGCGATCTCAACCTCCCTGGTTGGGCCTGGAAGACCACAGCCTTTCCCCTCGGAAGCAACATTCTTTGAATTTTGCTTGTCACTGTGTCTTGGGGTGGCCTCCTCTCCCTGACAGCGGTTAGAGACCTCAGGGCTGTCTTGGGACTTCTGCTGGTCTATGTAGGGATTTGTCCTCAATTTCCTGGATGAGTCTTCTCTTTCCGGGCTGCCCTTTGAAAGCAGGACTGGAGGTGACTCCTCCAGAGGAGTTGGAGGGGGAGGAGCAGGTGGGAGTGGAGGAGACAGATTCCCTGGGCCTCCTACTTCCACTGTTGCTTGTGGAGATGCCGTCTCAAATGGAACTATTTCCAGAGGAGCCAGGCTGGCGAGGTCTGGGTGCACGCCCTGCTCAGGCTCCGGCTTCTCTCTACTGGCTGCTGTGGAAGCCCCCTGTGTGCTCTGATTGGCTGGATCCCTAGTCCACACCTCCAGAGGGGAGGAGACTGGAGCCGGGAAGGAGCCACAAGGCAAGCTCCCAGAAGGCTCGGGGGGAATAAAGGGTCCCAGACTCGACTCAAGAATAGGCTGAATTGGGCTGGTCTTCAGAGCAGGAGGTGGCAACGATGAGAGCTCCTCCTCTGATTCAATGATTTTCAGCTCCTGTTGAATCTCGGGCCAGATCAGGACATTGGCCAGATCATCTTCATCCTGAAAAACATCAATAAACTGATTGTCTTAGAACCAAGTACTCTGGGTGCTGACATCAGCGTTTCCAGTGACAGGGAAAAGACTGGCAGCGCCAGCCTGTGCCAGTTCAGGAAATACAGGATGCAGCACTGATAATACCTGTGACTATCTGAGTGCTCACCATGCACCATCACATACTTCAACTGTATCTTGTGTAATTTTCCCAACAACTCTAGGAGATAAACACTACTATAATTACCCATTTTATAGATGAGAGGTCTAGGTTCAAATAGATTAAACAATTTACCTAAGTCATACGGCAGCACACCAGGACTGAAATCCAGTTCTGTCTGCACCAGAACGTAAGTACCTAATCTCTATGCACTGTTGCCTTATAAAACAACAAAAACCCTGGTCTCATTTAACTTCAGGTTCACTAGAAGGCACACAAGGATGAGAGTCTTCCAGTGGAATGAAAATGTTAAGTCTTACCCTGACACCTGCTTTCCAAATAAGTAAATACAGTTCTTTTTTAAAGTTCTTTTTTTTTTTTTTTTTTTGAGATAAGAGTCTTGCACTGTCATCTGGGCTGGAGTGCAATGGCGTGATCTTGGCTCACTGCAACCTCCGCCTCCTGGGTTCATGTGATTCTCCTACCTCAGACTCCCTACTAGCTGGGATTACAGGTGCACACCACCACATCTGGCTAATTTTTTGTATTTTTAGTAGAGATGGGGTTTCACCATGTTGGCCAGACTGGTCTCAAACTCCTGACCTTGTGATTCATCCACCTTGGCCTCTCCAAGTGCTGGAATTAACAGGCGTGAGTCACCACGCCCAGCCTTTAATGTTCTTTTTTGAGACAGAGTCTCGCTCTGTTGCCCTGGATGGAGTGCAGTGGTGTGATCTTGGCTCACTGCAGCCTCCACCTCCTGGGTTTAAGCAATTCTCCTGCCTCAGCCTCCTAAGTAGCTGGGATTACAGGCCTGTGCCACCCGGCTAATTTTTGTATTTTTAGTAGAGATGAGGTTTTACCATGTTGCCAGGCTGGTCTCAAACTCCTGGGCTCAAGTAATTTGCCCACCTAGGCCCCTCCAAAAGTGCTGGGATTACAGGTGTGAGCCACCATGCCCAGTCTCTTTTTTCTTATTACCAAGGAATACACATTTCACATGGAAAAAATTTAAATACGTATTAAAATAAAGGAAAATACAAAGACACCAAATCATATATCCTTACTCCCCACAGATAACCACTGTTAACATGGTGGGAATTTCTTTGTTGTGGTTTGTGGAGCTGCCTACTTCTCCACCTTGCTTGCTGTCCTTGTCTCCCCTCAAGTCCAGCTTCCCTTTGTCCTTCTAGACTCCTCCCTTTCCCTGCCTAAAGCCCAAAGCTATAGACAGGAAAGGGATGGAAGGAGGCCTGCTCAGGGCCAGGACAACTAATTTCAGTTTCTTTCTGGTTTTTTTTTTTTTTTTTTTTTGAGACAGAGTTTCACTTTTGCCACCCAGGCTGGAGTGCAGTGCATGATTTTGGCTCATTGCAACCTCCTCCTCTGGGGTTCAAGTGATTCTCCTGCCTCAGCCTCCCAAGAAGCTGGGACTACAGGTATGCGCTACCACACCCGGCTAATTTTGTATTTTTAGTAGAGACGGGGTTTCACCATGTTGGCCAGGCTGGTCACAAACTCCTGACCTCAGGTGTTCTGCCCGCCTCAGCCTCTCAAAGTTCTGGGAAAGGTGTGAGCCACCGTGCCCGGCCCAGTTTCTTTCATTTCTTGCCTCAAGGCCTAATTCTATCTCAGGGCGAGGCAGCCGGGGGACAAATCTCCATCCTGGGGTGGCACAGGCCTTTGTGAAAGTAATATTTGCTGCTGACTTCTCGTCCCTTCTCACCGAGCTCTAATCACTTGCTATTTCATATTAAAGTTACTTTTATGCTTGTCTTATTATTCCCAATGGACTGTGAGCTTCTTGAGGTCAGGATTGTGTTTATTCATCTTCGATTCATCAAGGCCAAAAGGTGCCCAGTATACTGTAAATGGGGGCTCAATAAAGGGTCTGCTGAACTGTAATGAATTCAGTGTTTTCTTTTGGATTATTTCTTTTACATATCTCTGTGGGATTGTCAAAATTAGTCTGCTTCTACTACACTGCATTTATCTGTGAACATTTCTATTTTGCCTACTAGACTGTGCCCTGCTTCAGAGCAGGGACAGCCTCATCTCTTTACTCTCCTCAGCACCTACATTAACTGAGCTCTTACTAAGAAATCAGTACTAAGAAACCATAAATTTAGATGAACAAATGAACATCTAAACTCCCTTCCACTTCACTCTGCCCTCTCGGTGAGTGGACCCACAGCGCATGTTCCTGCTCAAACCAGAAACCTATGAGGTGCCTTTGACGTTTCCTTCTTTCTCAGCCCTTATCTAATCCTTCAACAAGTCCTGTCCATTCTACCTTCTAAATAGTGATTGTAGTCCTTCATTTCTATCCCCATGGCCCCACACTAGTCTACACCTCCAGATTTTCTCTCCTGGCGTACCACATACTCCACTCCTCATGCATTCGTGCCTCCTTTCTTCTCCAAGCCGTTCTCCGCACAGAATAGAATGACCCATGAAAGATAAAATTCTGAACACCTCATATGCTTTCCCATTGCCCATAGGTTAAACCTCAAATCCCTTCCAAGCAGTCCTGGCTCCTGCATCCCCCTGAGTCACTTTTTCCAGCCCGGCCATCCCAGGCTTGCATTCCTTGAATGGAAATGCTCTTTTCTACCTTGGATTCAAGGCACATCTTATTCTTTCTGTCTGGAGTTCTCTCCTTTCCTATTCCACCCACTACCCCTTTCTTCCATCTGAGTTATCTGCCTAAATATGCACTCTACAGAGAAGCTTTCCCTGACCCTTGTGGCATGCATGCCTCCTCCCTCTGACTAGGTTGGGTCCTCTTGCTATGTGCTCCCATGCACTCCATGCTTCCATAGCACACCAGGAATTACTTGTTCAATGTCTTTCCCCAACTAGGCTGTTAGCTCCAAGAAGGCAGGGATGGCTAAAGCCTTGTTCACTATGGTGATGCCAGTGTCTGGCACAAAGTTCATGTTAAATACAAGTTTTGAATGAATGAATGAACTGATGCCTTTACTTGTTCCCTTGAATCCACCCGGTTCTCATTCCAGCACTAACTTTACCTGCTTCTCAAAGCAATGCCATTCATTCCTACAGGGTCCTCCCTGTAAGAATTCAATCAATTCCCATATGAATCTCTTCATCCTTCCCCTTCAACAAATGCAAATAGATCTTATGGAGACCCTCGCTCAGCCATCCTGAGGCCTCCATGTCACCTCACTCTGCTCTAACTCCCAACACATGGTTCTTCTGTGCACATCCTGAAAATCAAGACTCTGGAAGCAAGTTCAAAGGCATCCTCCTTTCTGGTACCCTCCTCTTGTCACAGAGCTGCCACCCAAATGCATGACTCTTCCTTGGGTATCCCTGGAAAACCTCCTCACACTTTCTATGGAAGGACATCCCATAAAAACCTTCTTGGAAAATTCCACCTCTACAAAGTAGACAAGGTTTAGTCAGCTCCAGTGTTGTATTTTAACTTCCCCAGAGCCCACGGGAGGAAAGAATGGATCCTGGAAATATTTCTGGTTTTGGAAATAAGTGTAGACAACTGCCCATCCAGGATGTCTGGAAGAAGAAGGCTGGACTCTGTGAATGATCATATTTGGGACTGGGGTATGACAAGCAGGTCTTGTGCTGCTTCTGGGATTGAATGTCATTACATTCCAAGACATGTTACTGGCTTATGGTGACCTCAGGTCAGGAATATTTAGAATTGAGTCTGTACTAGGGAATCTGAGCAGTATATTTCCTCCCCATCCCTGCAGGACTTCTGAAAAGTCCACTGCAAAACAAATCTCAGACCTTCATTAGAAGTTTGTCTCTTAAAGTCCCTTTGGCAGAAACTGATTTTCAAAAAAATTTTTTTTTCAATTTACTTTACATTGTACCAAGAGCCCTTGGGAAAAAGGAACTCCACCTGGCTGGAGCAGGTGGAGAGTGCACCTTACCATCTCATGGAGAAGGACAACTTCGGCTCTGGCCCTGGGGCTCTCCTGCAGGGCGCTGGACTCCATCTGGCCAGCCTCTTGTCCCTCCTCCACCACCTTCTCCGGATTTGGTCTCTTCTCTAATTCATTTGAATTTTGAGAGCTCAAGGAACTTTCTGGGGTTTTCTTCTCCTCCAGGTGGACGCCTGGCTCCTGGGATAGGCCTTTGCTGCATTCCACTGTCCCAGGTGCTTCAGGTACTGGCTTGGCATCCTCAAGAGCTGCCTTCTTAGGTACAGAAGCTGCAGTGAAAATGGAAGTTATCAGTTAAAGGAGGCTTCATTTTAAGAAAGACTGTCCTAAAACAGTCACTGTCCTGTCTCCTGGCCCTGCTTCAAGAAGGATGGAGGGAATTGCCCCAGCTCACTGCCCCTTGCATTTACTCTTTTCTCCTAGCAACGTCCTGGCCTCAGTTCCCAGAGTTAAAGATTGTCAGAGAAGGAAGGGACATCAAAGATCACCTAGTCTGGTGGTTCTCAACCAGGGACCATCTTGCTCCTACCATTTTCTTCTTCCAGTGGACGTTTGGCAATGTCTGGAGACATTTTTTGGTTGCCACAACACTGGGGAGGGGTGAATGCCACTGGCATCTAGTGGATAGAAGCCAGGGATGCTGCTAAATATCCTCCAGTGTACAGAACCTGTCCCACAACAAAGACTTATCCAGTCTAAAATGTCAGTAGTGCTGAAGTTGAGACACCATGCTCCAGCCCAGTCTCTGACTTCTCAAATAGCTAGTCAGACTTTGAGAAGTCCATCTAGGTGTCCAAGGTTACAAAAATCTGTTATTCACATCTTGCTGCAAAGATATCTTATAATTATGATTAACAGCTTCCTGTGTGACTCTTCCCAGGGGTTATCTCTTGTCAATTTGGATCTATCCAAAGTGATTAAGCTCTGTTCTTAAACATCTATGAGATCAGGAAGAAGCAGGCAGATCTCAAGTTTGGTCTCTATTGCTTTGCATGAAGGAAAGCCCCATTTCATTGCATAAAGCTGTTTCCACACTCTGCATTAAAGACTGAGGGAGTACCCAGGACTGTGCTCGGCACACAGCAGGCCCTCAAGAAAAATTACCATTTACAGTGGTATTAAAGAAACCTGGGTTCAAATGCTAATTTCTCAATGAATCTTGTAATCTTGGTACAAAGGCATCATAAGACTTGCTTTTCAGGGCTGATGTGAGGATAAAGTAGACAGTGGAGATAAAGCATATAGCAGTGTCTGGCATACAGCACAAGCTCAGAAAAGTTTGTTGGTTAAGATTGGTTAAGACCAAACCACTCATTGCCATTGTTTATACTGGTGTCCTAACTCTGAGGTGTCTCACCACAAGGCCACCCCAGCAACTCAGATCTAGTGACAGCATCCTGATGTCTGAACTAAAATGCTTCAGAATTCACAACAGTGGTATTTCCTTTTGCCCATCACTTTGTAGGCTTATTTCCTGAAATTCAGTTTTATCTTTGAATATGTAAAATATTTACAGAGTTCAAAAGTTAAAACTACAGGTCATTCCTTGATATCCACGGGGCAACTCGTTCCAGGACCTCCCCCCAATACCAAAATCCATGTGTGCTCAAGTCCCTGATATAAAATGGCATACATAATATTTGCATATAACCTATGCACATCCTTTTTTATTAAATCATCTCTAGGTTGCTTATAATATGTAATACACTGTAAATGCCATGCAAATAGCTGTTATACTGTATTGTTTAAGAAATACTGGCAAGAATAAAATCTGTACATGTTTAGTACAGATGCAATGTTTTATTCTGGAGACTTTTGATGTGTGGTTGGTTCAATCCATGGATGTGGAACCTTTGAAAGTCAGGGGCCCACTGTATATAAAAAGACCCCTTCTTGCTGGCCCAGCCACAGGTCTGCTCTTCTACCAGTCCCCTTGCCAGGCCTCGCACTCTTCTGCTCTGGTCCTCCCTGTGGTTGCAATCTAACCCCTTCTTCAAGGCAAACCTAACAACGCCTCTTTCAAGGCTTCCCAGACCAACCTCTCCTTGGTCACCCACCATGTGTCCATCACTGTTGCTTCTGGTTTGTTCCATACTCCCACTGTCTCTTAGAGATAACTACTTTTATTAGTTTATTGGTTTATTCTGCCAGTTTATTTTTGCATATTTAAACAGATACTTGTATATATTTTAGTTTCCCATCCTTAGTACACAGAATACACTATGTGATACAGATTGTTGTTTGCTTTACATTTTCTCACTTAACATATCTTGAAGCCCATGCCATGTTAGTAGAGAGGGAAATTAGTCATTCTTTTTTTTTTTTTTTTTTGATACGGAGTCTCACTCTGTTACCCAGGCTGGAGTGCAGTGGTGCGATCTTGGCTCACTGCAATCTCCACCTCCTGGGTTCAAGCAATTCTCCTGCCTCAACTTCCCTAGTAGTTGGGACTACAGGCACCTGCCACTGCACCTATCTAATTTTTGTATTTTTTAGTACAGACGGGGTTTCATCATGTTGGTCACACTGGTCTCAAAACCCTGACCTCAGGTGATCTGCCCGCCTCGGCCTCCCAAAGTGCTGGGATTACAGACGTGAGCCATCGCGCCCGGCCTGATCATTCTTTATGATGTGGCCTAGTTTGGGTTTCCTTCAAAGCAGATCCTGAAACAGGGTCCGAGTAGCAGGTGGCTTATTTAGAAGGTGGTCCCAGGAAGCAAAAATGAGAAAGTGAGAGGAATGGAGGAAAAGTCAATAAAGAGTATTTTGTTGAGTTGGTTCCCATTTTCAGCAGGGACTCAATCTCTGGTAACCCTAAGAAGCACTATGTAGAATGTGCCCCCCAACAATCCCTCCGTATGATAAGAGGCTGGGTCATTCCTGATTCCTGGCTTGTATTACTTGAGAGCTACCCCAGTTAATTCTCCATGCTTCTGAGCTGTCCCACACAAAGGCTGAGTGAGCCAGTCCCTTCATAAAATGCTCTGAGGCAGAAAACTGAAAACGCAAGGCAGACATCTGAAATAGGTGTCTTTCGTGTGCACAGAAACTGTCCCCGACAGATGCGCAGGAGTTTGGGGGAACGTAGTGCAAGGCTCATGAAGCTATGGACTCTATAGAACTTCATTGTGTGGATGCATCCTAGTTATTCAACCAGACCCCTAAAGGGGGCATTTGGGTTGTTTCTAGTCCTTTGCTATTACAAATAATGCCATGACATGCAAACGTCATTTTATATTTATGCAACTATTTATTTAGGATAAATTCTTAGAGGTGAAACTTTTGGGTGAAAGGGTAAATGCATCTGTAATTTTCAAATACATATTTTTTAACATTCTCCTAAAATCTAGTAGTTGGAAGAACTTGCCAGTGTCCCTTTTGGTAGAGCTTCTTTCCATTGATCATGACTATTAATATGGACTCCTGTGTGAGGTGTGGAGGAAGGGCCCATGCTAACCATGAGTTTGTTCCTATCACTCACTCCCCTGCTGAGAACCCTCTGTGGCTCCCTATTGCCTCCACTATGGCATGCAAAGCCCATCTCACTGTGGCCCGGTCACATGTCCTCTCTTCTCCCACTCCCCTCACGGGCCTTGTTCTCCACAGCTTTGGTCCTCCCTGTGATTCCAGTTGAATCCATTCCTCAAGACATAAACCTAACAACATCTCTTTGTAGCTTTCCCACACCATGTCCTACCGTAGCACTCAATGTTGTTATCTATGTGCTGCACAGTCCTCACGTTACCATGATCTCTTCTCAGGTACATGGCTTCTATCCTTGGGTAGGTTCCTCAGAACAGAGGCAGTATCTATTCCTAAAAATTACCTGCAAATCTCCAACAAATTTTTGTTGGCTGACAGATTTGGTGGCTACTTCTAAACTACAAGAAATCTCCATAGCTCAAAAGGGAAGGGCATTGTCACGTTCCCAGCCTGTGACGCATTATACACAAAGCGGGTGACCATAGTGGTAGAGATTGATAATCGTTGCCCAGTATCTATCCTCTTCTTTATTTGGAGCTAGAACCTCCCCCACCCCTCAGGTTTTAGCTGGGCACATCGCTTTCCATCTAGTACAACATACATTTCTCAGTCTCCTGAGGGTAAGTGTGGCTATGTGAAACACGTTTGGCAGATGGGATGCAGTGGAAATGATGTGAGCAGCTTCTAGGTGACATCCTTAAGTGGAAGCTGCTCAGCTTCTTCCTGTAGCCCTTTCCCATGGGTGGGAATGTGACTGTGGGGGTGTTGAGCCCACTCTGACCATGCAGACAAGACAACATCCCTGGGTATGGCTGAAGGAGCCTGGAACACCAGATCTCCTGGATCACAGTCACCTTACTCTGGACTTGTGCGTAAGATAGAAATAAACTTCTATCTTGTTTGAGCCACTGTATTTTTGGTTTTCTATATTATAGCAGCTTAGCCTGTACCTTAACTAATATAATCAACTAATGAGTTTATAAGGTAGGCTTGCTCCTGGTTAAAAAAAATAGGGCAAAATAACTTTTTGCGGATTATACAGAATCATATTTCAGATGCCCTAAAATAGAACTAAGAGAATTCTACTGTAAGTTCTTCAGTAAAAGAAGGAGGCAACTCCTAATATCTCTTAAGGAAATTCCGGATTTTCATTTATCAAGTTTCTGTAAAGCTATATGTTTATTCTGATCTTCCTTAATTAACATTTCTAGAACGGGATGCAGAGAGTGTTAGTTGTAATTTTTAAACCAGCCCATAAGCTCATCCTTCACTTTCGGAAGGATTCTGTTTGTTGTCCTTCCTCCCCACCAGCTGAGGATGAGGTTAGCAGGACATACTCTTGAATCAGGTAAAAGTCAGATAATCAACCATGATGATTACATTGATTAATCCTTCAATTTTTTCATTCAGAGTAATCAGTATTTACAATCATTTAACTTTAGTTAAAAAGCACCACTTACTCGATATCTCTACGCTTTGGGTCGCACTGGAATTTCACTTAGATTGGCCAAAAGTGGGAGAGTTGGTTTGACTAGATCAACTAAAAGTTTAAATGGGTAACCTGGAAAATTGTCCTTAATTCTTTTTCTTTTGCCCACTGCTACTTCACAACAGAAAGAAAAATATTTAACTAATGAAGGTGAAGTTCTCCACCTGGAATAATCATGGACGTTATCATGAGGTTAACACTGAGGTTAACCTCACCCCATCAGAGAGCAGGGTGAGGGGACCTGTTGCCCCTGAGACTTTCAGCAGTCCCCTTCCACCCTGGGTCTCAGATCTGGATGGCTGCCTTCCACAAGGCCCCCCTTTCTGCCCTGACTGCCCATTGGCCACAGGTAGGAAGGCAGGCTGGAGTCTCCCTTAGTGTTTTTCCCAGACCAACTTAATGCAAAATGGGTATTCTTATTTATAGGGAGGAGAGAGGGGGAAAAGTGGATAACAGACTGTCTCTAAAAGACCCCGACCCACTCTTCCACAGAGGATAACAAATCTCACAAAAGCCTTTGGAAACACTGTTTTCCTCAAAGCCTTCACTCCCTCCCCTACCCTTCATCCTGCTGCATCCACGCCGGCCCATGACACTGTTTTCCAGACAAGGCATCACTGGATCCCCTGAAATGTGCTCATCTGTGTACCCATTCCAAAGGAAATGGGAGGAGAGGACTGATATTTACTCACATCTTCTGTGAGCCGGACTATGGACAGGTATTTTATGGACATTTTCCCATTCAGACTTCACTACAGCCTTTGGGATAGGAGCCTCCCCTGCTTTGCAGATAAGAAACAGGCTCCAAAATCTCCCACTGCCACACTGACAAAAAGCAGTAAAGCTAGCATCTGAATCAGCCAGGTTGGGTTCCAAAACCTACATATTTCCCACAACATGTAGCTGACCGGAAGGCCCTTTCTCATCTTTTCTGCATGGAGAAACCTTACCCATTTATGAAGGCTCAGTCCAAATGTCACCTCTTCTAAATCTTCCTGGACTCCTCCTGAGAGGACTGCCTCTCCTTCATGCCCTTGCCATCTGTTATGAACATCTCTTTCATGATGCTTTGGGTACCTAACCCCTCCCTAATTCCAAAAATCCTGAGGAGGCTCTTACGCTTCTTCCATAGGCCAACCCTGCGCTGGACTTCAGTGCAGTGTTTCAATTTCCCTTCTTAGTTTGTGAGCTCACTGTGGGGAAGGGCTCATGTCTTAACAATCTTTGTAACTCCACAGCCCATAGTGAACACAGGAGGGAGCGCGGTCGTGTTACAAGCATGGATTTTTTTAAAGTCTGGATTAAAATCCTGGTTTGTCCACTTCCTTGCTATGAGTGATTGAGTAAATAACCTATTCCTCTTTAAGGAAATGGGGATAATAGTGACTACTATATCATAGGATAGAGGGGAGAAATGAGATAATATTTGCAGGACACTTAGGAGAGTGCCTGACAACCTAATAGGTGCTGAAAACGACTAATATTAACTAAAAAGAAACATTCCTAAATCACAATAAACATTTGTTGGTTTGATTGTCAGCCATCCTTTCCTTTGGGGTGCTCCCTGCTTCCATTTTATGTGGCCCATGTTTGCTCGTTAATTAAAGAACCTCTCCTCACTCCAGACACACCCAGAGACTCAAGTCTGGCCAGTCTCAGAACCCAATGAGCTGGGCAACAGTGACTGGTCCAAGGCTGGGCATGTGACTCAGGCAGATCCAATCAGAATCCTTCCTGCATTTGATATCAGAAAATTGGGAGAGGGATGCTCTTTCTCGTTGCTAGGGTTGCTAGCCATGTTGTCTGCAAATATAAAGTAGAAATGAGGATGGGTGGATGGAGAGAGAAGGAGACTGGAAGACCTGAATTCCCAATTCCAGCTCTGCAGCTCTGCATTCCATTCTGAGTTTTTCTCGTGCCTTCTCACTCTGTGAGCAAATAAAATAATAATAGGTAACATTTATTATATACTTGCATGTAGACACTGTTCTGAGAGCGTCATATGTATTAAATAATTTAATACTTACAACAAACTTATGAAAAAGGTATTATTAACATAATTATTCCCATTTTACAGATTAAGAAACCGAGGCACAGAGTGGTTACACCTGCTGGAGATCACGCAGTGAAATGGCAAAGTCTGGATTTGTACCCAGTCGGGCTCTAGAGCCCACAGGCTTAACCACTTCACTGTATTGCCTTGCAAACTCGAAGCAAATTTAAGTCCGGTTTTTCTCTCTTGCGATGGAAAAAGAGCCCCTCCCTCCTCTACTTACCTGCAGAAGTCTCAGCTCCCAGCGGTTTCTCTTCTTCTGGCCAGCCTCCGCTCTCTGATCCATGAAAAGAAAACTCTTCCAGGCTGGAAAGAGACTGCAGCTCCTTCGGGGGTGTTCTGCACGGCGTGCTGTTGGTGCTGATGACGGCGGACACGCGGAGCGGCACAGACACCGCAAAGGGCTCGGAGATGTTCAGCGCCTTGCGCTGGTGACGCGGCGACGGCTCCATCTGGAAGAGGCTGCTGGTGAAGACGGATTTGCTAGGGCTGTCGTTCGAAGTGTAGAACATACCCAGCATCTTTGGGGCTGTTTGCTCGCCCTCCGGATCCTCAGTAGGCCTGAAAACCTTCAGTTGTTCCGGTGGGGGCCGGGCCTGAGCGCCCTGGAGATGGACATCAAAGCCGCCCTCAGCCCCCAGAGGCATCCCCTCCTGGCCCCATTCGCCCTCCTGCTTGGTGAGGTCACATGAGCTGCCGGTGCCGGTGGTGTGCATCTTTGTTGCTGGAATGAAAAATCCACCGGTGGTAACTGTTCGATTGAAATTTCCCTTGGTTTCTTTTCCTAGTAAAAAGAACAGGTGTATGGTCAGCAGCCTGGGCACATATACAATGGCAGGCCTTCCAGTAAGGGCAGACACACGATATTGGAATACTAGAGAGGTACAGCATTCTAATAGGGGCATAACGGCCCAGATAAAGACAGGTAACATCTGGATGACAAAAGAGAAAGCACTTCCTTATATGCACATAATTTTAGCATGATGCTTTGGTAGGACCATTTGCTGTCGTGCCATACAGATCACTTTTAAACTTTGCAGGTAGAGCAGTTTTCAAAAAAAGATTACTGCTAAAGTTGCTAAACAGAGCCATCATCTACCGGGCATTAATTATAGATCATGAAAAAATAAAGAGACAGATGGGAGGTGGTAGGATGATGTTTGCTCAAAATGAAGAAGACAAAAATGAAAAATAAACAGAATCTTGTCTTATTTTAGAACTTTAAAACTTATTGTTTTAAGTTTTCTCTGGCAGATGGACCCAGACAGGGGGGTTTGATTTCCCAGCTAGGAAACAAATGCTGTTAACAACTAGACCTTTCCCACCTTTTCTCAGGCTTCTTCCTGTTGATTCAGAGGATGAGAAACTAGAAATGTAAATGAACTAAATGTTAGAAAGTACAGTTGTGAGGAGTGAATATATATATATTTTTTGTGACAGAGTACAGCTCTGTCGCCCAGGCTGGAGTGCAGTGTTGTGATCTCGGCTTACTGCAACCTCCACCTCTTGGGTTCAAGCGATTCTCCTGCCTCAATCTCCTGAGTAGCTGGGATTACAGGCACCTGCCACTGCGCCCGGCTAATTTTTGCATTTTTAGTAGAGAGGAGATTTCACCATGTTGGCCAGGCTGGTTTCAAACTCCTGACCTCAGGTGATGTGCCTGCCTCGGTCTCCCAAAGTGCTGGGATGACAGGCATGAGCCCCTACACCCGGACCGAGTTCTTGACTGGCTTAGACATGAAGGCAAGAAAGAAAAAAGTCTACATGAGAAGTAAATAAGCTTGGAGATGATATGTGAGTTGCCAGGGATCTAGAAAATAATTTCTAATTTGGTACTAAGCACTAAACTGGGCATCTTACATAACTCTATGCTTAAAGTTCTTGTGACCACCCAGTAAGAAAGTGGAATGATCTTTAACACATGAGGACACCGAGACTCAGCAGTTAGATGAACTGTCCAATACTCACATGCCATGTATATAATGACCTATATTTTGAAATATTAACTCCTGCAAAACTGGGCAAGAACTGCCAAGAAATTTCCAAACCAAAGCAAACATATGAATATAAAAGTAAGAAAATGCTGAAAGTATCAAGTTAACTTAAGAAGACCTCACTGAGTATTATACAGGTTTAGAAGTATTAATTATTAGTATTATTATTATTATTTGAGACAGGCTGAAGTGCAGTGGCACAATCTCGGCTAACTGCAATCTCCACCTCCTAGGTTCAAATGATTCTCGTGCCTCAGCCTCTGCCTACTGGGTTCAAGCGATTCTCATGCCTTGGCCTCCTGAGTAGCTGGGATTATAGGCATGCACCACCACGCCTGGCTAATTTCTTGTGTTTTTTTTTAGTAAAGACAGGGTTTCACCATGTTGGCCAGGCTGGTCACGAACTCCTGGCCTCAAGTGATCTGCCTGCCTCAGCCTCCCAAAGTGCTGTGATTACAGGTGTGAGCCACCACACCCAGCCCAGGTTTAGAATTATTTTAAAAATGTTGTTCTAAAGATTTTCTGTATTGTTTTGGTCTGACCCATTTTTGAAAGACAAAAATGTCTTGTATTAAAGGGGCTGGAAAGTCATAGGATAAGTATAGGGGAGTTTTAACAGTCTGTTGCCAGACAAATCCTTTGCCTTGTAACTTGTAATGGTGCTTGTTGGTTACTTAACAGAAATAGAAGGGAGAGATACAGGCAAGTCAGCCCTGAAGGATAGACCTGTGAGAACAACTGTTATGTGTTATTTTGGTGGTGGGTGTTACCTCATGTGCAACTCTATATACGTCTGCCCCAACAAAGGATATTGTGGTTTGTACATGGCTGATACATAGCTGGTGCCTAATTAATGTGTAATGATACATAATAAATGAATGAATGAATGAATAGATACATGAATGAACCTACCAACTGAAAATCATGACTTGACACAAAAACTAGGAAGCGAATGCATATGGAAACAGCCAAATTCAAGATACATAGGCCTCTAGGCATAAAACCATAGGGCATAAACCAATGCTTGGCTCTTTCTTTCTGCCCAAAGGGGAAGCCTCTTCTGCCTTAGGTTTCAGGTGTTGACCTTTTACCTGGTTCAGGTTTGAATGAAAAATAGCCATGGACTCCAGCTGTGGCTAGAGGAAGGATGGGCAAAGAGGATGGCTCTTTAGACCTAGCCCTGGAGTAAGGTAGGGGAGGTTATGGGGCTATGTAAACCCCTTAAATTAGGGTAGGGTCAGGGAGGGATTTGGGACTAGGTAGTTGTGTGTGATTGTGACTACAGAGAAGCAGGCACGACAGCTTATAAAGGCAAGTGAGCTCCAGCCTCCTAGTTGTAATCTCCAACTCAGAAACTACTTGTAAAATCTTACCTTCCACAGGCACTGAACACAGTGAGTCCATGCTTTTAGCTGGTCGGATAGTAGCCTTTTCTACTAAAGACAAAAGAAAAAATATCCTTGATGAATGCATATTAACAGAAAGCATTCAGAAAAATAGGTCAGGCTGTTCAAGTACACAAGACAAAATTCTTTAGGAAAGTTTTTCCAGTATAATTGATCCCCTTGAAAACATTCCTCCACCCTACCCTAGATGTTCCTACTTTCTTAATGGGACAGACTTCATAAACTCAGGGCAGTTAGAGATCAAAGTTTTATTAATATTTTACAATAAAGGTAAATTGCAATTTTGTCAAATAGCTCATCACAAATGAGGAGTCCTGAGCCCAATTTTACTGTACAAAAAGTATTCAAGGATGAATCCAGGGGTAGAATCCATGAGGCTCCAGGCCACTCTTCGTATTCAGCAGCAGAGAGCCGAGACCATATCTTAGCTACTGCAAATGTGGTACAGCAGGTGAGAGGGCCCAAGGGAATTGGAGTTAGGTTTCTGCCGGATGCAGCTCTGTTCCTTGAGGCCTGCAGGCTGGGTGCTCCCCAATGATCTCACCCATCAACCTCACCCTGGAACAGATCCCAACACCTACTCTGTGTTGGGTGTGCGCTATGCATATTTGTAAGCCACCTTAGCAGCTTTTTGGAAGTGTGGTTTAAATGAGTAAAAACGTATTCCAGGCATAGTATTAAATAGATGCATTCACAAACACCATCTCTTTTCAGGGAACTAAATTGGCTGAAAGGTTGTTCCTTCTAGGTCGAGCTTGTCAAGAAGGGAAAGAGGGTACTTGGAAGCAGGAGGCCCAGGACTAGTAGCCCTTAAGGTAACTCTGAATTCAGAAACATCTGGGTTTGAATTCCAGCTCTGCCACTTTTGGGCTGTGTGACCTCAGCCAAGCAGCTAAATTTTTTTTTATACAGTGTCTCATTCTCTTGCCCAGGCTGGAGTGTGGTAGAGTGATCATAAGCTAACTGCAGCCTCAACCTCCTGGGCTCAAGCAAGCTTCCTGCCCTAGCCTCTGGAGTAGCTAGGACTACGGGCACACACCAACAAATCTGGCTAATTAAAAAAACTTTTTTTTTGAAACAGGGTCTCACTATGTTGCCCAGACTGGTCTCAAACTCCTAGACTCAAGCAATCCTCCTGCCTTGGCCTCCCAAAGTGACAGCTAAACTTTTCTAAATTCCAGTTTTATCATGTGTAAAATGAGAAAAAATAGAGCTGTTGTGAGGATTACATAGGTAATGACTATAAGGTAATTATATTGTACTAATCTGCAATAGAGTAAGTACTCAATAAAAAGTAATAATTATTGATTGTTGTTGCTGCTATTCAGGATGGATTAGGGCTCAGCAACAAAGGGGAAGACAGGAGAAGGTTCTATGAGAAGCAGTTAGAGTTGGCCTTAACCAAAATTGAGCTGTAACTCAAGCTTGTTTTTGTTTCTTGTTTAAAGTTCCCCTGTTCTTCCTCCTTGATCCAAACCTGCTTCTTCTGGGAGGTTCTGAATTCACCCCTTGGTCTCCCAGCATGGGGCTTCTCTCTTTCAGGGGCCTGCTGTGGGATGCCCAGCCATCACCATGCAAATCCTTTGCAAAGGCAGAGATCGCCTTTCACCTCCTCACTTCCAATGTGCCCCAGAATTCTTATCCTTTGAAGATCTGCTATTTCCACAAATCTATAAATTGATTTACTGCCCTGACCCTACCTGGTCAGCATCCCTTTGTTTGTGTATTCTAGGACATGCATTGCCTTTGTTTTCCAGGCTGGAATTTCTCTGGTTTCCACGTGTCAACCTTGACAGGCAGTGACCAGGTGCCCCTGACTATGTCACAGAGGCCGGACAGCAGCTCTGTCTGTAGGTCCATCAGTGTCCACCCACCTTTGGTGGTGCTGAAGCCTCTTTCTCATGATGCAGTTCCTTGTGGCCTTGCGCAGCACAGCAGCACATCAGAGATGTGGCTTGGGGGACAGTCTCCAAGCATTCCCTGGCCCCCTTTCTGGAGAGTAACTGAGAGCTCAGGCTCCTGTGGCCTATGACTATATTTAGATTACATTTTTCTGTCTGGGACCTTGGCCTGGCCTCACAGAGGTGCACCCCCCAGTTTTCTGGCAGCCTTTGTGTCCTTGAGTCCTCCTCTCTTAGCTGCATTACTCAACGGTGAGCCTGGACCTGCTATAGCCGTATGGCTTTGAAATTTCTCTGCTCAAGAGGGTGCCCTGAACTCTTCTTTCTCTCTAATAATGTACAAACAACTTAAATGGAATCAATTAAAATATCCGTATCTGGAAGGCTCTAAAGTTTATGCGTCTTAATTCAATTCTCCATTTTTTCCAACACTTTCTTTCTTACCTGTTTCATTTTCTAGATATGGTTAAACACCCCTTCACCCACTCCTCCCCGCCCAAAACAATCCCAGTAGTATTCATGGTGAATTAAGTTTTTAAATGTCCTTAGTTACGGGATTTTAAAGCATATTATTTACGTATGTTAATCTACTGGTTCCCCTTTTCACATACATATTTCAACAGTGAGCTCACATGCCACTTACAGAGACCACACTGGTAGATTACATTTGTTACGGGGTTCAATGGCCTAACTTTAATCACAGATTCCAGTGAAGTTATGGCCATGAAGTCCATTGGTCTTTATTTTCCAGAGTTGCCAGCAATATTCTTCTGGTAAAAAGAAACCACTTCAGGCAATAGTTAAGGCCACAGGATGCCACTTATATTGACACTGACAGTTCTTGAATTTCACCCCTGCATTCAGTTAGTGAAGATCTGATTAGTTTGTTCATAAGATCATAAGCCAGTGACTTTCAACCCTGGCTGCATATCAGAATCACCTGGGGAGCTTTTAGAACATTACCAGTACTCAGACCTCACCACAGACCTCCTGAGGCAAAATTGCTATGATGTGATCCGCTCTGTGGGCGATTCTGAGGTCCAGGTGTGAGAAGCCCTGGCCAGGGGCATCTTGCATGTTCTGTGAGTTTACCACCATTTGATCTAGTGCCTTGGACTTGTTCTTTTTGAAAACCACATGGGGGTGGAAATCTTCCTAAGTAAAGATCAAAGCAAACCACTTATTTCCTTTTTGTTGTTTTGTTTTGTTGTTTTTTGACTTTTCATTACTGGTGAACCTCTCTCATGGCTGTACCACTAATTCTGCAACTGAAATTCTCTCTTTGATGTGCTTAAGCAAAGCTCTTTTCATAGATTAGGAGTTTCTGGTCAGGTACTCTTCCCCCCAGTTTCTCCCTTAAGAATCCTATTTTCTGATTTGTATCTGTCTTGCCATACTTGTGGCAACCTGTCCTCTTCATTCTGGCTATCTTTCCGTTTTGTGGAAGCTGAGTTTTGCCATACGGTGATTACAGATGCGTACCCAGAGTCCATTTCCCTTCTGCCCTTCGCACATGGCTCTTGTACTTTGTGGGTGTGAGTCCCATTCCTCATGCGAGGAGTTGGCTCGGGATCCCAGGCTGAAGCCAATCAGCACAAGGCACACCATTGACAACAGGGACTGAACCATGTGGCTCAGTGAAGGATACTGAGACAAGGGGAATTTTGATGAGGCCTTCTGGAAAAGAAGGGTCCCTGCTCTTAGGAGCAAGCTACCAGAAATGTTCTTTCTCCCTCTGGACCTAGAGGGATAGTCAAAGGGAAAGCCTAGAACTACTGCAGCCACTTTGCCACAGAAAGGAAGCCAGTCTGGGGATTAAGCTGACCCAAAGGAGGACACAGCTGGGGAAAACATGGAGAAATCATGACAGAGCCCATGTATTAAACCCCCTGAAGCTTCTGCAGTGTTCAACTCATTGCATAAGTTGATTGAATTGATTTGCCATTATTTATAGCCTAAATTGTTGTAACTGCTGTACTGTGACACCCCTCCTTACTCTAACAGGCAAACATAAAGATCTCTAAAATCTGGACTTTCTGATCCTTGGCATGTGATTATTACCAGGTTTGAGGAAAGTCCTTAAAAACATTATCTCACATTTAGGAATTAATGTGAATAGGAATTAATTTTCCCCCAAATCTCTATTAAAAATTTCAAACATTTAGAAACCTACCACCCTTAAACTTACCACCTAGTTTTGATAATTATTGACATTTTGCCTTATATTTACATTATCTATTTCTATATTGATATTTATCTACCTACCTATAATTTGCTAGTTATTTGGAAGTGTCAATATTTTGCTGCTTCATCCTTGAATACTTTAATTTTAGCATATGTCTCCTAAGAACCATTAGCACACTATGAAAATTTATAATTCCTTAATACCATTTAATATCCAGTCTATATCCACATTTTCCCTCTTTGTTCCCCAAATTGTCTTTTGTAGTTTTTTTTTGTTTTTGCTTTTAGAGATGTGTTTTTTCCATGTTCCTCAGGCTGGTCTCGAACTCCTGGGCTCAAGTGATCCGCCCACCTCAGCCTCCCAAGTGTTGGGATTACAGGCACGAACCACTGTGCTCAGTCAGCTCTTTTACTTTTATTATTATTTTTTTTTAACCAGGATCCAGTCAAAGTTTGCTCATTGCATTTGTACATTTCTCTTGTACTTGGCTTCATAACTATTGCTTCCATTGTTATCATACTTTCAATCTATAACACTAAAGATCATTATGAAAAATTTCCTTGGTCTTCTCTTTCCTGACATCATATTCAGCTGCATTGGTTAAATTCTCCACTATATATGGTTCCCTCATTTCCTTCCTGTATCAATTTCTATTCAATACTCAGAAATAAGTCCCATGGGGTAGCATCCTTCTTTAAAAATCACGACCCTGGGGGAGAAGGGACAGGTCTTTTCAGCAGAATTCCAATTAATAGAAAATCATCATTTAGCAATGCCATAGGAATAATTGTTACATCCAAGAACCATTAGAGGATCCTAAAATTCATGACAAAGAGCACTTTAACCAAGGGATCACAGTTCTCTTCACACGCAATAAGATCCTGACATCATATGCCTCCTAATATGACACACTGAGTCAGGCACAGGGTCACTTCTGTAGGATTTCTGCAAAAATTCCTAACCTCAGTCTAACCACAAGAAAACACTGGACAAACTCTCCCTGAAGTAGATTCTACTAAATAAATGGTCAGTACTCTTCCAAGTTATCATGGTCAAAAAGACAGAGTAATTGTTCTAGATTGGCAGAGGTTAAGCAGACATGACAACCAAATGCAGTGTGAGATCCTGGATTGGATCCTAGACCACAAAAAGAACAGTAGTGGGACAGCTGGCCAAATATGAATAAGATCTGCAAATTCATTAGGAGTATTGTATCAATATTAATTTTTGGCTTTGATAACTTATATAAGATATTAACATTGGGAGAAGCTGCATGAAGGGTATACAGGATCTCTGTGTACTATTTTTGTGATTTTTTTGGTAAGTCTAAAACTTTTTTTAAAAAGACTCCTCTTCCTCCAGTTAATTTATAAGTTTCTCTTTCAGAGTTAGTGTGTTTGATAAGATCAAACCAAGACTTAATAAGCAGAGCTAGGAAACTAATATTTGTATCATAAAACAATTACTGTTGATTCTTACCCGAGAGCCTCTGTCCTCTCACAAATACACTCCCATTTCTACTCAGTTTTGATTTGGAGTCCGATCCAGAACGTCCCAGGTTAAATATTGATTTCCACTTCTTTGATTTACTGGAGAGCTTTCGCCTAAAAGAACCAAGGCCTAAGGGGTTAGTTTGTTAACTAGTCATTTCAAGGGGACTTTTAAATTGAGATCAAATATTCCATTTATGTCCTTAGTTATGAATGGCTCTGATATTTCAGGAAATTCCCCTCTAAAATCCAAGGTAAGCTTGATTCTTACCTTGTCTAGAGATGCCCCAGGTGACCAAGCAAGGCTTTCATGAGTCACAGCAAACTGTATTTCCCAGGGCAAGAGGTAAAGTGTGATATTAAAGGCAGAGGTGGGGGCAAACAGAGGCAAGGATCGTTGGGAATCTCAGCAGTCACAAGCAAACACACAATTCTGGGAATTCTGATAAGCACTTTTGTTCTGGAATTTCAAAGACACCATTCATTCATTTCATTCATTTATTCATTTATAGAGATGGGGGTCTCACTATCTTGCCCGGGCTGGTCTTAAACACTTGGCCTCAAGCCATCCTCTCACTTCAGCCTCCCAAGTGCTGGGATGACAGGACTGGGCCACCCACCACACATGGCCAGTTTTTATGCAGGATGAAGCACTGAAGACCATATGGACCTGGGTCCCGTTAGGCTCCTGCACTATAACCACACTGCTGGGACATCCACAGGCAAAGAGAGGGCTAGTGAAGACTTTCATGGACTGAAAAGGGTTGGATGAGAAAGTCGACCTGGAAAAGAGTCTGGCCTGGTGAAGCTGAGGAGAGTAGCAGCCTGCAGGGTGTGGTCAGTGATCACTACAGAGAAATGCAGAGGGTAGTTAGTGTGTCTCTGGCTTAGCCTCACACCAGGCTGCTTTGGTGAGATGGGCAAAGGGGAGCACTAGGCTGGGTCAAGAGAGCCTGGCACCCCAGGGGTCACCATAGAGGCCTTGCCCTGCTGTGGCTCTGCCCAGCCATTGGAATGTATAAAGTTTCAGGATGAAAACCTGCAATCTGTGAGTTCCACAAAGGACCTATTCTCTGCAGGTCTCTCATGGAACATCCAGATCTCAAGTCCACCATGTTTGTTGTTGTTGATGTTGTTGTTGTTGTTTTTGAGACAGGATCTCGCTCTGTTACCCAGGCTGGAGTTCGGTGATGTAAACAAGGCTTACTGCAGTCTTGACCTCTTGGGCTCAAGCAATCCTCCTGCCTCGGCCTCCCGAGTAACTGGGACTACAGGCACATGCCACCACACCTGGCTAGTATTTTTATTTTTTGTAAAGACTGGGTTTCAACATGTTGCCCAGGCTGGTCTCAAACTCCTGGGCTCAAATGATCCTCCCACCTTAGCCTCCCAAAGTGCTGGGATTACAGGAGTGAGTCATTGTACCTGGACCCAGGATGTTTTTATGATCCATCTGAGATAGCTTTGCAGTGCTTGGTGGTTTCCTTTGGACTTGGCCTGCATTTTGTCAAGCTTTTATCCTTGGGAAATATTTTATAGGGTAGCATACCTCTGGGTATGGTGCACCCCAGGTGTGGTTTAAAGCACAAAGAAAATGCATTTGATGGTCTTTCCAAGGTATTCTTCCTGATCTCTGGAGGATCAGGGAGAAATGAGACTTATTCTCCAGGGACATAGGGAAAGGAGCAGTGGAGCTCAGTCTCAAGAAAACACAACCCATATACTTTCCAGCACACAGATGGGTTTCTCACCAGATGAGTTCCAGATATGTCATTCCTATAGCATGCAGCATGACTGGCATCTCCGAGTTGTGCAAGGTGGCAGCCTGTGCAAGAGGTGCCTGCTTTCATACCTCTTTTCACTGACCAAACAGTGGGGATGACACCTTCAATGGAAAGGTTGCCTTTCAGCCCCTCCACCTACAATCTGCTTAGAATTTAGGACTCCTGTTCAAACCCTGCTTCTTTCTACCATGGGGTACGAGTGAGGGGGTGGGTAGAGACCCAGGTGGCAACAGAAGAAGTGACAGGGAGAAATGAGGAAAGAAATTATTCTACCAATGAAAACAATGCTTTATTTGTTTTGGAGATGAGGGAGGGCTCTGACAGGCTCTGACAAGGATGCCAGGTTTGCATGTCCCCAAGTGCTGCTCACCCAGAGCTATCAGCCTAGAATGACACTATTTGTCAAGGTGTCCTCCATCAGAACACTCAACCCTATGCCTTTTGTATCGTCACGTGGGGATGGAGGGTCAGGGGAGGGGGTCAAATTTTTGTTTTTAGTAAACTTTCTTTTGTAAACACCAAGCCTGATTTATCTATACTAAAAAGTCAGGAATTTCAGTCATGACTTATGATGTGACCCCTCTAACACTGTCCCAACATGGTGCTTGATCAATGGGAGATCGGGGGTCTTGTTAACTTCGGGGCAGTGTATGCATAAAGGCATCAACCGCTGGTGAGAGAGTTGTAGAGACAGCTCCCTTCTCTTCTGGAATGTTTCCTTAAACCCCAACCCAGATGGTACCTCCAACCCACACCGCTATCTTGATCCTGAGACTGTATACCTCTCTTCCCCTTTCCTCTTCAACCACACATCTCCTAGAATTTTTTTAAAAGAGTGCCACTTACTTGTTGTCTGGTAACTCAAGGACGGTGTGGAAGAGGGTGCCCATGGGAGGGACAATCTCAGGCAGGCTGTTCTCCCTCCTTTCCTTGCGAGCAGGATGGTTAGTGGCCAGGCTGCGGGCCTGAGCTTCCTCAAGGCTCACCAGCTTCATGGGCAGGGAGAGGGCTGGCAAGGTCAGGCTCTTCATGATAGGCCGGTTTGCTGTAAAGGCAACAGAAGAGCTCAGTGTTGGAGGAGGCCTGCTCATCACATCCATCCAGATTCCCCATCCACAGTCCCTCCATTCCTGATCCCATGATGGGGGCTGAGTGCCACCCTGGCTTCTCTTGGACATGGTGGGGCCTGGGGCTGAGGCTGCACATGGGAAACCGATGACTCTTCTGGCCAGACTTGCCAGAGGACAAACAGGGGCTTCAGGAGGTAGCTGCACCTTCCATACTTTTCAGAGAGGGACCATTCACTTATTCATTCATTCATTCATTCATTCATGCCTATAACAAGCATTTATTGAGCACTCATTGTGAGCCAGAGTGACAACAACGAGTCTTTACTCCTGAAAACTCTGCCTCTGCCTCATGCTTCAGCCAGGTGGGAATGTCTGTCCAGTCACGGAGGTAGCCTAACTGCCAGAGCAGGACAGGAGGCTGCCTCTCCTCCCCACAGCTGGAGAGCACATGCTCCAAGGCCATTTCAAGTTAGAACCTCTACTTTCCCAGATCATCAAGGCTTATATCCCTGCCACAGGAAGATATATTTTACAGCCTATACTATGCCCTGTGGTTTTCTTACTCACTACCCAGTTGTCTTCTAGTGTATGTAGCGGATCCTTTCCTATTCTATGGCATTTTTTTTAAGGAACAGAAGCGATGATGACAATCACTGATGCACAGGATTCTCTTTTCTCCAAGTCAGTGGTTCTCACCTTGAGGTGATTTTGCGTACCACTCCCCTCCCCACTCAGGGACATCTGGCAATGTCTGGAGGTATTTTTGATGGTCATCAATGTGTGTGGGAGTGCTACTGGTATCTAGTAGGCAAAGGCCAGGGATGCTGTTAAATGTCCTGCAATGCACAGAGCAGTGCCCCACAGTAAGAATCATCCAGCACTAAATATCAATAGTGCTGAGGTTGTGAAGCTGATCTAAGTTAAAAAATAGTCTGAGTTTGCTTCTATTTAGCTTTTGGTGACCTTGCCAGTTTTCTATGACATCCGAAGTAGTAAAGAGACTCAAGGATAATTTAGACCAATTGAAATCACTTTTAGTGGAAGACTCACTGTATTTTCAGAAAGCAAATTGATGGCACTATTTCTCTTTGCAGCGCATGACCCTCTGTGGGTGGGAAGAAGTAAAACTATTGAAAAAGGGCCTCATGGAAAATGGAGACAACTGTTATGTGACAATGAGGTGTTTCTGGGGAGGACTAGCATGGCACTCATTCAGCAGGACTACTGTTAAATACAGCCTGGGATCCTGAAAACTTTTCAGTAAACTTTCTGGCTTTAACGCAGTCTTTTGACCCAATCCAAAGAGGGGTAAAATATTTAAATTTAATCTACTTTGAATATTTGTTCAAAGACTCTCACATATTCTTTATTATTCATGATTATGTATTTGCTTAAAAATACATAAAAATAAATACATACATTAAGTCACTCTGGGAGCAACTGCAACAATGGGAAGAACATAAACTGCAGAAGACCAAGTTTAGTGCCCACCTCTCCCCTCAGCTCCAGGCTCCTAGGACTAAGGCCCGTTCAGCGTCTCTGCTTAGATGTTTGTGTGTGTGTGTTAGTTAAGTTTTTGGTTTTCATTTTTTGTTTTTCGAAACGGAGTCTCAATCTGTCGCCCAGGCTGGACTGCAGTGGTGCAATCTCGGCTCACTGGAACCTCCGACTCCTGGGTTCAAGTGATTCTCTTGCCTCAGCACCCTGAGTAGCTGGGATTACAGGCACCCACCACCATGCCCAGCTAATTTTTTGCATTTTCTAAAATAGTAATGGGGTTTCTCCATGTTGGCCAGGCTGGTCTCGAACTCCTGACCTCAAGTGATTTGCCCGCTTCAGCCTCCCAAAATGCTGGGATTACAGGCATGAGCCACCGCGCCTGGCCTCTGCTTAGCCATTTCTAACTTTACATTTTGTAACAGAGCTTGTGATCTGTACTCCTCTGCTCTACTCTAGTACCTCCTCTCATCTTCTCTGTGTCAGTAGGTGGCACCACGGACCACCCAGTGCCTAAGCTAAAGCCCGGGGGGTTGTTATTTTTTATTTATTCATTTCCTTAATTCATCTCTCCTTCCATATACAGCCTATAAGCAAGGCTTGTAACTCTACCTCCAAAATACATCCGGAACCCAGCCACTTTCCTCCTTCCCGCTGCTACAGGCTGCCATGATTTCCCACTGCTTTTGCCATAGCTTCTCCACTGGTCTCCCTGCTTCCAGCCTCTCAGCCTCTCCTCCACACAGCAGCTGGAAGGCTTAGATCCTGCACTGGCCTGCTCAAAACCCTCCAGTGCTTTCCCAAGACACAGAACAAACCCATCCCTTCGCATGACCTAAATGGATCTTTCATCTGCTTCCCCTCTCCTGTTTGCCCACTGGCCCAGTAGTCTACAAAAATATAGTAAACATTTAAAAATATACATGTATACATATATATAAATTATACATATACCTATTATATATATACACACACGCCACTGTGCACACTGTGTTTGCATCATGTGTAATAGCAAATGTATAAAAAATAATAGAAATTACACAGTATAAGACAAAAATAAACGGAAAAAAGAAATTCGAACAGTTTCTCCCAACACCCATAACTCATTACTTTGGTCTTTGGGACCCATCAGAGTGGGGCACCCCACTTTGAAGGCCACATTGGTTCCAGCCACATTGGCCAATGTTCTGCAACACCGCAAGTTTTCTGCCTCACAGCTTTTACAACCTCTGTTCTCTGTCTTTGGAACATTTGCTCATAGATCCTCACATGCCTGGTTCCCCATGTCATTCAGGTCTCAGTTCAAAGATCACTTCTTTAGAAACCATGACCACTCTGTCCCAAAATTACACCCCCAAGTCACTGACTATTGCCTTACTCTGCTGTGTTTTCTTCTTGGTATTTATTGTCTTTGAAGTGATAATATATTTGTAAAGGTATATATTGCTTGTCTTCCCAACCAGACCATAGTTCTATGCCGGAGAAGGTCTCTGTCATTTTGTGCACTGATGTGTCTCCAGTGTCTAGAACAGCACCTAGTTCATAGGAGATATTCAATACACATTTATTTTAGATAAATATTTAAATATTTAAATTTAGAATATTAGAGATATCACAATCTCTTTGGCCTCAGTGTTCTCATCTATCAAATAAAATTACTGGATTCAATGCCTTCTTCTATGCTGTGAATGTTTCTGTCCCCTCAAAATTCATATGTTAAAATAGAATCCTCAAAGCAACAGAATTAAGAGGTGAGGCCTTTAAGAGGTGAGGCCTTTAGGCCTTTAGGTCATGAGGGTGGAGCCCTAATGAGTGGGAATAGTGATCTTACCAAAGAGGCCCAAGGGAGCTTGTTTCACCTTTCTCCATGTGAGAACACAGTGAGAAGGTGCCGACTGTGGGGAATGGGCCCTTACCAGACACTGAATCTACCAGTCCCTGGATCTTGAACTTCCCAGCCTTCAGAAGTGAGAGAAATATGTTTACTGCTTATAAGCTAACCAGTTCATGGTATTTTTTTTATGGCAGCCCAAATGGACTAAGACAACTTCTAAAATCTTTTCAGTTTGAAGCAGAACTCTGTCCAAACCTAAAATTCCAAGGAATAGGGAATAAAATTCCATTTTGTGTAAATATTAAGTATGGCACTTTACCAAAATCAGTAAGAATTTATAATAAGAACCTTTAAATGAAATGTATGTGAACAATGAGCACTGCAGGTAATCAGAGTTAAAGGCTAAAGAGAAAACTGGATTTTAATATGCAGGACAAAAAGATGGTTAAGGCAATAGCCATAAAGAGAAAAGGCATTTTCAGGTTGGAATTAGGACGAGCCTTAACATTAACAGTTATGGATGGGATTTGCTGTCCAGAAGAATATTTCCCAAAAGGCCTAGTTCTCCACTATGATTTATTTATCTATTTTCATATTCTTTTCCTCATAGAGGCAGAATAGAGTTAAGGAAAGAGCATGGGCTAAAAGATTTGGGTTCAGCAGTCCACATGCAGCAAGTTACTCGCTAGGTGGCTCTGGGAAATTACTAAGTAAGCTATTCTGGTTCTCTGTTATTCATGTACAAAATAAGGTTGATAACGACTTTATCATGTTTGCTGTAATAAATCAGTGAAATGCTGCATGTGGAAAACCTACAACAGTTCCCGCTGTAGAGTAAATCCTCAGTAAATTTTTTTGTGGGCTCAAAAGGGTGAATGAATAAATGTATGCATATTACTTCTCTTTTACTTTCAAAAAGGTTTTTATACAGTTTAAAAGAAAAAAATCTATAACTGGAGAGTTGAAATAAAAAAGAAAGGCCAGCCACTCCAACATATATAATAAAGAGAATTGAAAATATATATTCAAACAAAAACGTGTACGTGAATGTTCACAGCAGCATTATACATAATCATAAAAAGCAGAAACAACCCAAACTAAGGAATGGATAAAAATGTGGTATATCTATGCAACAGAATATTATTCAGCCATAAGAAGGAATGAAGTACTGATATATACAACAACATGGGTAAACCTTGAAAACATATGCTAAGAAAAAAAAAAACAAAAACAGTCCGCTAGGCGCAGTGGCTCACACCTGTAATACTAGCACTTTGGGAGGCCATGGCAGGCAGATCCCTTGAGGTTAGGAGTTTGAGACCAGCCTGGCCAACATGGTGAAATCCCTTCCCTACTACAAATACAAAAAAAAAATTAGCCAGGTGTGGTGCTGGGCACCTGTAATCCCAGCTACTCAGGAAGTTGAGGCAGGAGAATGGCTTGAACCTGGGAGGCAGAGGTTGCAGTGAGCCAAGATCATGCCACTGCACTCCAGCCTGGGCAACAGAGTGAGACTGCATCAAAAAAAAAAAAAAAAAGTCACAAAAGACCATATATTGCATGATTCCATTGATATGAAATGTCCAGAAAAGGCAAATCCATACAAACAGAAAGTAGACTAGTGGTTGCCAGGGCCTGTGGGGAGAGGAACATGTGAAGTGATTGCTAAATGGGTATGGGGTTTGTTATGGTTTGAATGTGTTCCCCAAATTTCATGTGTTGGGAACGTGATCCCCAATGCAACACTGTTGTGACGTGGGACCTTTATGAGGTGATTAGGTCATGAGGGATCTGCCCTTCTAAATGGATTAATGTCATTTTGCAGGAGTGGGTTCATTCTTGTAGGAGTGGGTTTGTTATAAAACCAAGTTCAGCCCCTTCTCTCACACTCTCTTGACTTTCCATCTTCTACCATAGGAGGACGCAGCAAGAAGGTAAGGCCCTCACCAGATGCTAGCCCCTTGATTCTGGACTTCCCGGCCTCTGGAACCATGAGAAATAAATTCCTTTTCATTGCAAATTACCCAGTCTATGGTGTTCTGTTATAGCAGAACAAAACGGATTAAGACAGGTTTCTTTTTGGACTGATGAAAATAGTATGGCATTAGGCAGCGGTAATGATTGCACAATTCTGTGACTACATTAAGAACCACGGAATTTTACACATTAACGTGGTTAAAATGATGAATTTTATGTTATGTAGATAAAATAATTTTTTAAATGGTCATAAACTACATAGAGGACAGGGTAGGGATGGGAACAGTTATACCAGGAATCAAAATATGATAGTAATTGCAACTGATTATTCTAATAACTGGTTTTTCCAAAATATTGGATGAACTAGAAAGGAGTTCTTTGATCAGCTAAAAAATATATTGCAGATATGGTTTTTTATGCACCAGTGATTCTCCAAGTGTGGACCTGAACAGCAGCATCAGTATCACCTGAAAACTTGTTAGAAAAGCAAATTATCAGCCACACTCCAAACATATTAAACCAGAAACTCTGGGGATGAGGTCCAGTAACCTTGGTGTAACAAACTCATCAGGTAATTTTGATTTACACTAATGTTGGAAAACCACTCTCATGTACCAAGCTTCTTAGCTGGATTTCTGGTCTTTACCAACCGGGTTCATGGGAGTTTAAATTCACTCCTAGGGCTCATTATATTCATTACAAGATGCCCACAAACACACTCATTTTTGTATGCCTACTGCCTGGCACAGTGCAGAACAAAGCATTCAAGAAATTATTGAGAAGAGAATGCATTCTGAATATATGTGTGAGTATGAACACGCTGCCTCTTAACTTGTTCCTCTAAGACTTCAAGGTGAAGACATAAGGGTCTTCTGAAATACAGTGAAAGTAAAGATGAAGTCTAACAGTCAGGGAGAAGAATGCTGGCAGCACCTCTTTTAGAAAATAACTTGGAGTTTAAGAACTCACTAAAACTAGTAGAACATTATTCTAGTTCTATTTCAGCATACCACATTCACAGGATAGGCCATGTATATGACTGATTAGAAACATGCTAAAGCCACATGCAAGCACGCCATAGCTTCCCTTCACACATACAGATGTATATATGCACGATCCTCAGACACTGACACACAGTAGTCAGCATACACACAGCCAACACTCAGAGCTAGAACTAAGCCCACCCTCACTTTCTGTTGAATCCCACCACTAGTTGCAAGAAAGAAGGACAGGCTGGTGGGGTGTATGCTAGCAGGAGTCCTTACCATCATTCTCCAGCGACCCAGGTGCACCGTTGTTAAAGATTTGATCTACATGATTCAGTATGAACTCAATCACCACCTGCTGGACCCGGACTGCAAGGAAGGCTGCATCTCCATTGCAACCAGTGGCTTCAATTTCTTTAGACCTACGGTGTGGAAGAAACATATTCAGTGAGTGAGTTTGCCTTACAACCTGAAGCAGCAAGGGGAGCCAGTAGGCCTTTTGCACAAGCCTCATCTCCTAAATTGATACAGTTTATAGAATATTTTAATTTTTTAGGGCCAATTAAAGGAACTCTCCAAAGGCTGTGAAGCCCAACAAACTGAAAAAATTTGAAACAGTTACCAGGTACTCTACATTGCAATACTATAAACACTATCCTGTACACATACAGAAATGGACTTTCGTTTCCTGCATGGTATGCCTTTCCACTCCCACCTACCTGTTCTGTGGAGCAGGTCTTCATCTATTCAATCATATGAAGCAGCTGATTCAAGTTGTAGCCAGCTGTGACTCCACCAAAACAAGCCAGTGAGCCCCCAAAACAATAAAGGCCTTTTCAAGCAATTGTAACATACAGACCCATAAGTTCAGCCATATTGTAGCTGTAGCCAAAAATGTCTTTAGAACTCAGAGTTTCCAAGTTAGCAGACAGAGAGCTTAGGCTATTATCACCTAAATCGCCTTTAATTCTATATGTGCTATAAATGACCACTTAAGCCACAGATTTGTTTTAAAGGGGCTTCAATGTGAAGAATTCAATCTTCATTTCAATCGGGGGCTGCTCTGCGCCCCCCGGGGTGGTGACAAGGGGAGGGTACAGTGGTTACCTGAGGAGGTTTGGCGCCCACACCAGGGCCAGGTTCCGGGCATGCATGTTGGTCTTGCTGCTGAAGGAGGCGATATGGGCCAGGTGTCGAATCAGGTATTCCAAGGTCCTAGAATGGTTTGTTTTTTGACAAAGTAAGAAACTTCAGTGCTCGTGTGAAGCCTGACATATGGAGATAATTTCTAAATTTGGATTTAAGAGACTCAAAATATTTCTATCTTAATGAATTTGGAAGGAATATTGGGAAGCTGTCAAGATTGACCAGAAGTAATTTCTTGGCCCTAGGCACACTGACCCAGGGTGGGGAAGCGGGTCCATCTTGTCAGATGTAAGCAGAGGCCCCTGGAGCATCAGTTGGAGACAGAACCAGGGAATCACAGCACCTCAGAGCCCGGAGGCTCTTAGTGGCCATTTGTTCCTCTTTTCAACCAGGGTAGGATGGCTTCAAGCAGTTTTGAAATAGGCTCTCCTCTAGGCTTGTTTTAATAAAAATTCTCCCAGCTACAGGGATCTTGGTACTTGTCAGGGAGCTAATTTCATGGATAAACAACATTTATTAGGAAGTTCTTTCTTATACCACATCAAAATCTGCCCCCTTGTAAAAGATGGGCAGGCATAGGGAACACTGGGAAAGGTGGCAAAATTACGGGCTAAACTGTGAGAATGAAATGAAAGGGTGGGGGATGATGATAGGGATGGTACTAATGAGCAAACAGAACAATCAGCCAATGCTCAAGAGCCCACAGTCAACCCCTGCTGAAAAGCTATCTTGGTTGCCAGAGATTTGGTTATGCTACAAATCTGGGTATGAACCAAGAATGCCACCAAAAGGCTAGTATGCATCACCGGAATGACTTCCTGAGGGGTTCTGAGGGGTGTTCTGCAGGTGATTTGGAGACGGCCCACTCCTTGCTGCCAATGTCCCTGGTCAGACACCAACTCACTTTGATAATAGTGACCTGTTCACCCACTTCAAAATGCCCTTGGGAAAGCCTAAACTGGCTACTGTCCACTACATAAAGGAACATTGGTTCCTTTCCATGATGCCAGCCTGTCTCTTTGGTATTACACTGCATTGAGAGGCCACACGTTTCTTTCCCCAACCATTCTTACCTATAGTGGGATGGAGGAAGCTCCTGGATAACATTTTGGATTCGGGCCAGTTGGCCTTCTTCAGGGCAATGTGACACTGCCTCCTGTGGAGAAGAACACAAGGCAGCCTGGTGAGTGCCTGAGAGTGGAGACGGCCATCTGCATGTGCTGGAATCACTTGAGCCCTCATACTCCAGCCTCACAACCATGCCTAGAGATCACCCTTCCAAGAGGCACGCTTTACCCACGACAGTTTCTGTCGGTTCTGGATGTGTGTGCAGGGGCTTCACCGTGTGTGCACAGGGGGCGGTGGGCTGCCTGGGACTCTGGGTATCCTGAGATGGTTGCTAGGCATCTGGTAAGAATGTGTAGAATCTCGAGTGTGTCTCGGGGGTAGAGAGACACAGAAACACACAGAGAGATAAAGAGATAGAGACAGGCCCAGCATGGTGGCACATGCCTGTTATCCCAGCTACTCAGGAGGCTGAGGTGGGAGGATTGCTTGATCATGAGAGTTTGGATCTAGCCTAGTGACATAGTGCAACTCATCCCTAAAATATGAATGAATGAATGAATGAATGAATGAATGAATGAATGAATAACAAGCAAGTAAATAAATAAATAAAAGAGACATATACAGAATGAGATGGAGATGACAGAGTGGTGCCAAGTCCACTTAGCGAGTTGTCTTTGCAGGTGCAAACAGCTACTGCCTACCTATCCCGCGACTACTCCATGACCTCAAGGACTCAGCTGCTGCCTGTCCTAGAAGCCAGAAAGCAGGGAAGACGTGCCTTTCTTGGCAGGGATAAGTCCCTGAAACCTGGTGGCCTTGCCCAGACTTGCTCTCCAGTTATTTGCTGTCTGGGTATTTTGTTCCCCCATCAGCCCAAGTGCCTTCAAGGAGAGGCAGGAATAGCAATAAAGGCAACGTGATTACAGGCTAGCCCATGTCCATCTGTTGCCTGCTGGGGGTTGCTGCACGATGCAGGCATCCCTGGGCAGATTCCCCTGGTCCCAGCACTGCACCCCTGTTCTGAGAATCTGTCCTGCGGTGCTCATGGCCCCTCCCACTGCAGTGTGAGTGCTCACGAACTGCCAGCATCTGAGCAGCGCCTGAGCCTAAGGTCCATGGTAACCACAGCTATCTTTTATTTTTCACTGAGATATAATTTATGTATATTAAAAATGTGTGGATCTTAAACTATAGCTTCATGAGTTTACTTCATATGTATACACCTGGGTAACCCACCTAGATCAAGATGTACCTTAAAAGGGGCTTTAAGATCATGAATTCACAGGCACACATCACTTAGTCTTATATTTCCTCCCCGTGCTGGAAACTTACTTTAGATTGATACATAACAAAAGGTACAATCATGGAATATCTTAATTAATTTGATAAATATTGCCCCTTGCCATACAACCCAAAATAAGATCCTAACGAGGTGATGGTTTTCTTATGTTGCTCACCTCTGTTCAACCTTTAGCTGCCATGTGCTTGTTGCATGTAAATACTGAATTTCACACTCTCGGTAATGAGAAGTTTTAGGCACAGAAAAGTGGAAGGGAATTAATTTTACCAGCATCTTCAGTTCCTACGACCCACCAGCTGAGTGTGATCTGTTTTAGCCTAGAGGAGACCACTGAGGTTCTGTTCCAGCCTGGGCCTCCCAATCCCTCCCACTTTTACCCACAGGACTAGCTGCTATTACACTACAAGAATACACTTAGTTATTGGAGTTATTGTTTACTGTCTGTCTCCCTTGCTAGAACATAAGTTCTGTGAGTGCAGGAACGTGATGAATCCCTGTGTCCAAAACAGTGCCTGGCACACAGTATGTGTGAGACAGCAGGTCAGGGCTTTGCCCACCAAGTTTTTTCTTTTTTACCTTTTTTATTTAATTGAAGTAAAACAAATATACAGAAGCCCACCATTTTTAAAGGCAATCCGACTTCTCTATGTGGAAATCTTGAGGTCTCACATTTGAAGCAGAAGTGGGGAAAAATGTGGGACTGGGAGGATTACAGTCATAGGCATTCCAGTCTTCTGGTGGGTTTGCCAGTCTGAGACCAGACCCAGTCTAAGCAACATCGCTGCCGCAATCCTCGCTTTGTGAGATATGCAGGGTGTAGGGTAGGGGCAAGAATGGGGCCTCCGGTAAGCACCCTGACACCTCCCTTTTCTTCCCTGGGGCTGTCATTTGGAAAACATGATCGTGGAGAGGACCCTGGCTCTGCAAGGCAGTGAGAACCTCGCAACGGGGAGCCGAGGGAGAGAAGCTCTGGGGGAGGGAAGGGCTGCTGGAATGCTCTGTGGACTCTCCCACATTCTGCTGTGCACACAGGGCCGCGGGAGGGGGAGCTTCTCTTCATCTCTCTGCAAAGCCCGAATCATGCTTCACATGTGTTGCACCACTAACCCCACCCTCCTTTAAAAAATGTGTCTGGGGAATAAAGGTGTAGGTCAATTTAACAACCCTCATGGAAAGTTCCTTTAATATTTTAGGAAGCTGTTAGTCATCTTTGTTCTCCAAGAGGCGGGGCAGGCTCATCCCCGGATGCCTGCAGGTCCCATTTGGGATTGACGTTTATTTCATTATTTGCAACCTCTCCCCATCCTACCCCAAACCTCTCCGGAAGCTTTCTAAATTCATGTTTTCCTTCTGGAGGGGCCTGGCCACTGCTACCTTATTTTGAGCTTCTCTATGTTCTCCCATTAGGACCACAGAACCCATAGCTGGCCAATTGGGGGATGGGAGTGGAAATTTTACCTACCCCAATTTTTTGCCTATAAGAGAATTTCACTCAGCATTAGTCAGGCCAAGATGGCTAATGGTTAAATCTTAAAAGATCTAAGATGAATCTGTGACTATTTGTTCTTTTCAAATCAGTATCAATAAGGCCAGCTTCCTGCCCTTGGAGGACGCTAGCAGAGGCTGCGCTCTTGTCCTCTGTGGTAGGATCCTCACTCTGGGTTTCTGTTTACTCAAAGCGACCACGGTCCCTGAGCTCAAGTCCTGCTGCCTGGGCAGCCCTGTCACCAGGGTGGCCCAACACAGTCTGAGGCTCTCCCTTCCAATGGCACCCCAGCTGCAACTTTAACTTTTTATTCATTACTTTAAAATTATCAAACCATTTTTATTATTTTAAGGTATTTTAAGCTATTTACTAGACCTTTAAAAAGTAATTTATGCATATAATTTAAAAAGTAATTCATGCACATAATTAAAAAAAAAAAAAAAAGGAAAGCATCCAAAGGAATGTACAAGGAAAGTTAACCTTCCTTCCAACTACAGACTCCAGAGGAACCACTGTGTGTCCTTCAGGGCAGTCTTTATAGCTACGTCTTTGTTACACCTTTGGAAGCAAGCACTCCTAACTGAGCTGGTCCCTCTGCAAATTCCCCTGCTCCGTCTCCCATCGTTTCCACCTGCCTTGCTCCATATAGGCCACACTGGCCTCCACATGTCCCCTAAGCAAGCCCAGTGTATCCCGGCTGTCCCCAAAGCCTTTGTACCTGCTGCTGCTTCTTGGCACCCTGTTTTCCCAGATACTTGCACAATTTGTTCCTTCACTTCGTCCTTGCCTCTGTTCAAATGCCACCTCCTAAAGAGACCTCTGATTATCCTATCTAAAACAGGAGTCCCCATCATTCTCTCCCCTGTGCCCTGCATTATTTTTCTTCACAGTACTTATCAACAGTTCACATTATGAGTCTATGTCTTACATTGTGTATCATCTGTCCCTTCCATTAAAATGTAAGTTTCACAAGCACAAGGATTTTCTCTGCTCTATTCACCATTAAATCTCCACAACTAGAACTGTGCCTGCCAAATATATGTAGTAGATGCCCGCTACACACTGTTGAATGGAAGGATTAAGTGAATGAGTCAGTATTTTGCTTTGTGCTTGAAAATGCTAAATAGCCACATTTGGGCCACACTTCCAGACCGGCAGCCTGGGCTCATTCCCCATCGTGATGAACACCAGCATCGCAGAGGCAGCTCCTTTTGACTCTGGGCTCCCGGCAGGATGACCAATGTCCTGGTTTGCCCAAGACAGTTTTCCTGGAACATGAGATTTTTGGTGTTGAAACAGGGAGAGTCCCTGGCAAACCAAGACAATTGGCTACTGTTCCTCTTTGCAGCCATCTTGAGCTCACAACCAGCCTGACTTTACCTGTTGCAAGGTGTTAGTTGTCTGCCCTAAGTGACATTGCCTTTTTTTTTTTTTTTTTTTTTGAGACGGAGTCTCACTCTGTCACCCAGGCTGGAGTGTAGTGGTGCAATCCTGGCTCACTGCAACCTCCACCTTCCAGGTTTAAGCGATTCTCCTGCCTTAGCGTCACAAGTAGCTGGGATTACAGGCGCACACTACCATGCCCGAATAATTTTTGTATTTTTAGTAGAGATGCGGTTTCACCACGTTGGCCAGGCTGATCTCAAACTCCTGACCTCAAGTGATCTGCCCGCCTCAGACTCCCAAAGTGCTGGGATTACAGGCATAAGCCACCAAGCCTGGCCCTAAGGGACATTTCAAATGAGAGTTGCTAGTCAACAAATCTGTCAGTAAATACTTCCTAAGTAACAGTTACAACACTTTCCAGTAGCTAGGGAGCAGAAAAACACAGCAATGAATAAAATAAACACAATTCCTGTCCTCGGGAAGCTTACAATTTAACCCAGGGAGACTGACGTGTAAACACATTATTTCAGGCAGGGCTTGATGGCACACACCTGTAGCCCTAGTTACTCCAGAGGCTGAAGCAGGAGGGTTGCTGGAGCCCTGGAGTTTGAGGTTGCAGTGAGTTATAATTACACCGCTGCACTCCACACTTTGCAACAGAGCAAGAGTGCATCTCTAAAAATAAATAAATTTCAAAAAATTTAAAAAGATACCATTTTGATATAAATTAAACGTACGTTCTGACAGGTGAAAAGTTTAATTAAAAAAAGAAAAAAGGCAAATACATAATTGAACACCTCTCTTAATGGCCTTCTCTAAAAATCTCAAGTCAGCAAAGTTTTCCTATTTTGGGTGTAATAGTTTTAGCTGGATCAATCTGAACAAAACTGAATTTTTCCTAAAATAAACGTTGTTG